CATAATTGACTTAAGCCATATTCCAAATATCACGCTGATGTTTATAGGGGAGCATTCCTTTTACGGCATACGGTTTGATGGTGGGTATATGAGATTCGGCACAGCCGAATATAACACTCTTACTTGTTTACTCTCAAATGGTACTTTTGGAATTTCTAATATGTTCAACCTAGAAACATAAATTGGAAATGGTCCCCACTTAAAAATAATCTATAAGTGGGGACTCTTTGGTACTTTCCCACTCTTCAACCGGTACCTGTTAACTTTTGAATTCTCTATAATGGGCGACCGGAACACATGACACGGGGTCATTATTAAACGAAAATTTATTGAGAAAGATTTTTGTATATTTTAATTTTTCAGATGGTACTTTTTGAATTTTTTACGATATTGAATATAGAAATATAAAATTTATCATGTGGGGACCTGAGTGTTTGGTACTTTTTCGTTCATCATATTATATTTTTTGAATTTTCTGTAATATTGAACACTGAGACGTAAAATTTTTCATTGAATGAGAATCTCTAAGAGGTATTTTATAGTACTTTTTCCTACTTCTAATAGTACTTTCGAAATTTTCTATAATGTGGAAGCTAAACGAATGTAATTAAAAATACATGCTCCTTACTGAATGCGAATTTATTCAAGTGATAAATTTTGATAATACTGAAAAACAGAAACATTAAAATTAGGGTAGCGAAGCACCCAGGGTATTCTAGTAGAGTATAAAAATTTCCTTATAACTTTTTGCAATAGTCTCAAAGAATTTATAAATTTTTTAATAAGAAATAAAAATTTCATAAAACGGTTTTATAAATTTGACTTCAAGAAGCTAAAGAATAATGGAAAAATAATTTTGATACAGACTTACATACACAAATACATATGTATATATACAAGCTAAAAATAGTTCGACGTGATAGAACACAAGTACAAACTAAATATTTTATACGTCAAACAAACATTGTTTGAAGATTTGAAGCGTACCTTTTAATTCACCTCCATTTTATGTTGCTTATCGGGGAGTTAATGTCTAATGCCAGTTGGCTAAATAAAGAAGAGGAAGGGAATTAAAAGAAACGTCGAATGTCCAGCGCTTGTATGTATGACTTTTGGAGTTTGGTGATATACAGATGGTTGGTTGCTAAACCCACCTGTTTTAATTAAACCTACGTGATGTCAAATGTTGAAAATTTTTGGCAAAGACAAGTCATAGTTATACGTGTTGACAGTAGTTTTTTTTATTGTCACTTTTCCCTATTTTCTTTTTCCTACAGAGTTTGTTTTCTTCCTCTTGTATGACACAAAAGCTCAATTGTCATTATGTTCTAATTGAAAACATTCTTAAATGGCAAAGACGTGTTAATGAGTGTGGATAAAAAGGAAATTTTCTAAGGAAAATAAACATTTTTTTAACAAGAAAAATTAAAGACAAAAGATCATCGGGTTTATTATTAAGATGTACCAAAAGGGGTTGGTTATCAGTTGAATGGAAAGAACGACAAAAACCAATATATTGGAATATTTTTAGGAAGTCAGTGCATTGCTGAGTATATAAACATTTGCTTTAAGTTAAAAATAAATAATATTTTTAAATGAAAAATTTGAAAACGAGATTTTTTAATTAAAATATTTAAATAAGTCAATTATGTGCGATTATATGATATGGGGGCTGATCGTCATACGAGGGATTTAGATGATAGGATTGCGGAATTGAATATATTAAAGATCTGCTTTTTTATATTTATACTATTCTGTTGAAAGGGATTTTGTTTAAAATAGTTTGGCATTTTCAACTAATTTCTGATAATAAATAAATTTTACCTTCCACCTCATATTATATATACCCTCTATCCACATTAATATTTGGGGGAAGGAATAGAAATATAAACGTCTTAAGTTACATATCGCTTGTCTTTCATTTGGTTTCATATATTTTCAAAAACGTGTACTATTTTCGGTGTGAGACCGATTTTTTTTTTTTTTTGAACTAAAATTCATGTCTTTTCCATGATTTATTTAAGAAATATGTAAAAACATTCAAAGACGTTTTTCTCGAAACATTCTATTTTGGATTATGACAGTCTTGTATAAAATGATCGATAAGAGTACGGGTTTTTATTTATTTTGAAAATTATATAGTTTGTTTATATACAAGTACATACATACATATGTTTGTATATTGTGTATATACAACAACAAATATTTAATTATTAAACTTTTTATTTTGGAAATTTCAACAACTTATAACTCCAGGTCCCTTAAGTAAAGCGGACATAAAATGGCATTTAAAAAGTACTCGTAAAAGCATCAGTTCGAGAAATATAAAAAAAGGAAAAAACAGTAAAAAACTATAAAAATCTAAATATTTATAGTTATGAGAGTATACAAACAAATACATTTACAAATATAAATGTAAACATATATTTTTAGAATTACTGCATATTTCTAGCAGGAGAAAGTTTTGGTTGTGTGTATGTTTGTAGTTGCATTATGAGTATTTCGTTAAAAGAATAATGTATAAAAACAGAAATAACATGAAACTAAAGTTCCTTTCATAATTATGAACCCGAATCATAATTGTTGGTATTTACTGCTGACAGAGAATGAAATAAAAAATGAACTGAGAAGAATAATAAAAAAAGACTGTAAACTACATGAACAGAAAAACACAACATCGAGTTTTTATTTTGCTTAGTGTTGTTTTTGTTAAAAGAAGTGTATGTTCCATTTAAAGACAAACAAGTAAACAAAACATTCATAAAAGGAAAAAACAAGTTAGATTGAAATATTTGGCAGAGTCGAATCTTATATACCCTTCACCAAATATTGTTTAATATAAATATGTATGTAATTTTGAAGTTTTTATTATTTTTTAAATGTTAAAATTTCTTATTCTTATATCCTACACCACTTTAGTGGGGAGGGTATATTGGGTTTGTGCTGATGTTTGTAACGCACAATAATATTGGTCTTATACCCACCTTAAGTCGATTTAGCTATATCTGTCCGTCCGTCCGTCCGTCCGTCCGTCTGTCTGTCTGTCTGTCTGTCTGTCTGTCTGTCTGTCTGTCTGTCTGTCTGTCTGTCTGTCTGTCCGTCCATTTAAACCTTGTAATCAAACTACAGGTCGCAATTTTGAAGATAATTGAATGAAATTTGGCACATGATCTTCTATCTACATGATTCTTGAATATACATACATATATAAACATTTATAATGTGGAAATTACAAACGGCATAACAAATATATATATACCCTATACACGAAAGTGAATTGTATGAAAATATGAAAAACAGAAATCAACAACAACATAAACATAAATAGAAGCACAACTATAAACAAGTGGAAAAACTACTATACATTCGCAAACACTTATGCGCACAAAAATAGTCAGTCTGAAAAGAATTTCAAAAGATCGAAGAGTCTCTTAAATAATTTGTAATGGTATTGTTTTATAGATGAAGTGCTTGCTGCAGTGACATTAAAGCTATCGAAATTCCACATAATAATGATAATCTTTGCTTTCCTTATAGATAGCGAGGTCGATTAAGCCATGTCCGTCCGCCTGTCTGTTGGTTTAAATTAATGTTTTGAAGACCCAGCTATCTTCGGTATTCAAATCTTCATTAATTCTTTCAGACATGAGAGAGAGAGGGAAGTTTTGATAAGTGTCATATTTAAAACGAACAAAATTCGTCCATAAATAACGGAGATGTGAGCAGAAAACCAAGACAACCTCTGAAAATTTCATCAAAAATAGAAAATTGCATGCTTTGACGAAAAAACAACAACATTATTGGGAAAAACGTATGTTTCGATGTGTGTTGGTTGCGTTGCTTTGCGTATATTGTTTTTGTGTGTTTTGTTCCGTTTGCCGTTTTTGTTTTGTTATTGCTAAAGTAATTGAAATAAATTTAAGTTTTATAAAATTATTATTTTTTAAACACACTTTGGTGAGGGGTATATAAAATTTGGCAAAGGCGAATATAGACTTCTTCTTTTTTCTAACAAATTATTATTTTTTTTTTTTTATTGTTACAAACATATGCTAAACGTCGTTGTTGTTTTCACTAGTTAAAAAGCGAATACAATGTACATACCTACAAGCAAACACAATCTGTTTGCTTATGAGTACGAAAGTACACAAAAATGATTTGTTGTAAGATATGAATCACTCATTCAATTGCTATATAGCTCATTCTATAACTGAGACAATATCCAATTAACCAACAAGGTGCATATACCATTTGTACTAAGAAAAGCTTCACTTCACCAAACAAACGGTTAAAATTGGTTACTTTTATACAAATTTAAAGCCTGTCATCGTATACAACTATAGAAAATAGAAAAAAAACTTATACCAAAATAAAATGTACACACGCACTAAAACACACATTCATACATTTAGAGAGCATTCAAATTGACATAGTTTTAAGATTTTTTTTAGAAATAAAAACAAGTAAAGCAATAAAATAAAAACAACATACAAATCAAAACATCGAATTCAAAGAGTATATTCTGTACTATAAGAGTAAATCTCAACCTTAAAATCAACGAGAGTGGCTACAAAAATCAAAAAGAAAACTGTTATACAGGAGTAAAATGGAAAAAGGATTTTCGAATGTGAAACAAATTCGAATAACGTAACTTTTTATGCTCATAAGAGAGCTCCTATTAACGAAATGTCTATACAGCTTCTTTCGAAAATGCTCTCAAATTAGTATTTATTTCTCTCATTTTTAGGTGTGTTATGCTCGTTCTTAAATACTGTCATTTTTAATGTAATATGGCATTTGATTTTCTTCCACAATTATTTGGTTTTATAACAATTTTTGTGTGTAAAACGAAGTTTTTAACTTCGAATTGTATGTGTGCATGTTGCTAGAAAGGATTTTATGTGAGTGATATGTAGGTATTTTTTTTTTTTTTTTTTTTTTTGAGGTGCAATTCGTAAACAACATTTTCAGTTTGCAAACATTTAGTAGATGCGTTTTGCTGGTCGGTTAAAACGGTACAATATTAAAAATACGAGCTCAATGACCATGTCGAAATAATGGCGTAAATAAATGTAATAAACCGCTAAATTACATGTACATAAATTTATGAAAAAGTTTAATGAAATTGTAATTTCAATAATAAAATAAATTAATATGAAATAAGTGTAATAATATTATTTAGAATTGTATTAAAATTAATTATTAAATATAAATAATTCAGTTTAAAAAAAAAAAAAAACAACTAACAACTAAATAGCACATATACATAAATTATACAAATGTATATACATATAAGTATGTACATGAATGTAGAATATCCATATGTATGCGTATAAAGTGTTTTATATACTAGTGTTTCGTGTCTTTGTTTAGATAAATCCTTTTTGGCATTCACAGCGGGTACACATATCTTTAATTTTCTTCTTGGTATGTTTTCAAGTTTCTATAATATTTATAATATATTTTTTACAGAAAAAGTAGGTATGTATGAATATAAGTTTATTAGACTGGCTAACTTCAAAAAAAAAAAAAAAAACGAGATTTCCTTATCGTTCTATGAATATATCTTTGTTTTAGGATGTTTTTCTAAATAATTTAAGTTTTGTGCTAACTATTCAAGAGCAGATCTATTTTTTGAAGGTTTTAATTTGTTTATTATATATTGCTGGACAACAAAATTTATACACAAATAATAAAAAAAAACGATATTAAAAAAAAAAAATACACTAGATCTAAATTAGTTTGAACAAGTTATTAACAGAAACGAAAATTCAATTCTAGATGAGTAATAAATACGTTTTTCTGGGAGTCAGTCTAATGTTTATACATAAATTGTAACATGTTTGTATTTAGGTATTATATACATATATACAATACTGTCTCGTATATAGAAAGTAATTAAAATAACCTTTATTTAGTATGTGACTGTGGATTTATATTTTGTTCTAATTCATTATAAAAAACACATGGGGTAGTGCAGCCAGATGTTTAGATTTATGAAATATACAAAATTACAAATATAAGAATTTTGATCACCTACGGTTTAAACATTTAATCGTAAATTTTTCCACTTATTTTATTTTTAAGTAAAATAACAATTCAAATGTTTTGTAAATTAAAAATAAAAATAATTTAAAATTTTTGATCCAAGCCTTATAGTCCAGGAAATTTAAGCATGATCAGTTAGATTACAAATATATATTTTTTGCAATATCTCGTTTATTATGCGTCATACTCGTTCTATAATTTCTATAATGAATAAAATTTTCTACATTTTGATGAAACATTATTTTAAAGCAGCTAGCTGTTGTTGGGCTATAGTGTATTATTTCTTCATTTAAATGATATTTAAATACACTTTTTCTTTCTTATCTTAGATACAAAATTTTAGTTACGCAATTTATTTCAGCATTGAGTTTTGCTCCATAGTGCAATGTCCGTCTATCCGAAAGTAAAGAAGAGCTGTACAAAAAAAAAAAATTGAAAAAGAATTAGACTACGGCTTCAATTAGCTCAATTAGCCAGCTTCATTTTGTTTACAATATTAATGTATGAATGTATAGTATTTCTACTTTTTGTTTTGACAATTGAAAAATGGGTACAAGATCTTTATAATTTTAATGATATTGGTGAAAATATTTCAGATATGGATTGTACGTACCAATTTCTCCAATTGTGACTCTATCTGAAATTATGGATACACAGACATTGGACTATAGCTCATCGAGTACATGGAATTAATATTGAATTTTTCATGAAATTAATAGTGAATTTTTGGCCCTTAATTGAGATCCCAATTGACAATGCTCATAACTAGCTTAATAATAGCACTATAGTGGCGTGAACAAGTTTTATAAGAAAATAACGAGTTTTATAAGTGCCAAAATCTCACTTCCAATATATATCCACTTCGATCTATAATTGACCCTACCCCCTATATAAAGTCACATCCAAATTACATTTACGGTCATAACAGTCCCAATAATAACAGTATATTGGAGAGATTCATGATAAACCAGTTAGGAAAATAAATGAAAATTCTAATTAAATATCATAGTTTTCAACAAAAATCATTTATTTTAAATAATTATTGACTCTTTTTAGTCCATAATTTCACCAAGTTCCGAAAATCACTCTGATTCATACATTAAAAAATAAATTTTTTGGAGTTGTTAAAGAAGTTCACGCACCAAATGTCTAACCGCCTGTTTATTAAAATTATTTTTTGGAAATTCGTGTTGGTGCTTTATATTTCTGATTACAAATGACAAATATTTTCATTACTTATACTTCTAGCCATCATGAGGTAGTATGCCAACAATTTTGCAAAAATTAGTTATATCTTTTATATATATATATATATATATATATATATATATATATATATATATATATATATATATATATATATAATTTATAATATTTATAATTCATTTTTGTTTTAAGTTTTATAACTTAATACAATAAATGTTTTTCCTTTAATATGATTTAAATAAGTAGAAGCAAATTCATACTAAATTTTAATTAGCTAAAAATAGCAACTTCTTAACAAACATTTGTAAAATTAATTTTTAACACAATAATTCATGGCATATCTAGGAGCCATAAAATCCATCAAGCACATTTCTTGATCTTTGTGAATATTGTTCCACGTGTATTTTATGCGATCAAAGATATTGTGTGTGTTAGTTTCTCTGTCTCTACATGTGAATTAAATTTACATTGTACATACTTATATTCATACTGAGCGTATGATTTATATATATTTAAGAGTAGAAATAAATATTACACATACGTATGCTGATGCCAGTGAGCGCGCTATATAACATATTTAGTAAATTAAAACAAGTAGGAAAGTATAGTCGAGCATGGCCGACCATATAACACCCTACACCAAGAGTATATTTTAAAAATTTTTATTTTTCACAAAGAAACTTCTATGTTGAATTTTACCTTAATTTCAAAGTATTTAAGCAATTTATTAATAAAAACCAAATTTTCTAAATGAGGCTTTATATAGGAGTATAGGTCAAACATGGGCCGATCCTCATTAAATGTGGGAAAAGGATATATTTTTAAATAATAGTTAATTATGTTGAGTTTCATTGCGATACAAATGGTTACAAGTCAATTTTAGACGTTTAAGAAATTTTTTGAAGGGGGGTTGTATGAGGGCTAGGGTCAAATAAGGGGCGTTCATTACGAAAACCTGCAGTGTCATTTATACTTATATAAAACTTATTTGAGCCAATTTTTAGAGAGATAATAGTATATTTGACGTAATTATGGCATAAAAAGCCCAAATCGGGAGGTACGGTTGTATGGGGGCTAGGTGAAATAAAGAACCGATTTCAACCATTTTCAATAGGCTTCGTCCTTGTGCCAAAAATATGCTTGGACCAAATTTTATCAAATTATCTTGAAAATTGCGGCCTGTACCTTGCGCGCAAGGTTTACATGGACAGCCAGCCAGCCAGCCGGACAGACGGATGGACGGACATGTCTTAATCGACTCACTATAGTGGGGAGGGTATTATACGTTTGTGCTGATGTTTGTAACACACAAAAATACACCCACCTTTAAGTATACCGTTCGACTCAGAATCACATTTTGAGTCGATTAAGACATGTCCGTCCATCCGTCTGTCCGGCTGGCTGGCTGGCTGTCCATGTAAACCTTGCGCGCAAGGTACAGGCCGCAATTTTCAAGATAATTTGATAAAATTTGGTCCAAGCATATTTTTGGCACAAGGACGAAGCCTATTGAAAATGGTTGAAATCGGTTCTTTATTTCACCTAGCCCCCATACAACCGTACCTCCCGATTTGGGCTTTTTATGCCATAATTACGTCAAATATACTATTATCTCTCTAAAAATTGGCTCAAATAAGTTTTATATAAGTATAAATGACACTGCAGGTTTTCGTAATGAACGCCCCTTATTTGACCCTAGCCCTCATACAACCCCCCTTCAAAAAATTTCTTAAACGTCTAAAATTGACTTGTAACCATTTGTATCGCAATGAAACTCAACATAATTAACTATTATTTAAAAATATATCCTTTTCCCACATTTAATGAGGATCGGCCCATGTTTGACCTATACTCCTATATAAAGCCTCATTTAGAAAATTTGGTTTTTATTAATAAATTGCTTAAATACTTTGAAATTAAGGTAAAATTCAACATAGAAGTTTCTTTGTGAAAAATAAAAATTTTTAAAATATACTCTTGGTGTAGGGTGTTATATGGTCGGCCATGCTCGACTATACTTTCCTACTTGTTTTAATTTACTAAATATGTTATATAGCGCGCTCACTGGCATCAGCATACGTATGTGTAATATTTATTTCTACTCTTAAATATATATAAATCATACGCTCAGTATGAATATAAGTATGTACAATGTAAATTTAATTCACATGTAGAGACAGAGAAACTAACACACACAATATCTTTGATCGCATAAAATACACGTGGAACAATATTCACAAAGATCAAGAAATGTGCTTGATGGATTTTATGGCTCCTAGATATGCCATGAATTATTGTGTTAAAAATTAATTTTACAAATGTTTGTTAAGAAGTTGCTATTTTTAGCTAATTAAAATTTAGTATGAATTTGCTTCTACTTATTTAAATCATATTAAAGGAAAAACATTTATTGTATTAAGTTATAAAACTTAAAACAAAAATGAATTATAAAATTTCTTTAACGCGGAAATTTTTATAAAACATTTTGGTGTTTTTTTTCGGACATTAGTGTATGTTAGATAGTGGGTTTTTCTTTATACAAAAATAACCCACAGAACATAAAATTGAAAGTTATTAAATTAAAATAATATTATTTAAAGCAGGTTTTTGCAAGTTTTGTTTATCATAAGTTGCGGATTTCGAAGAGTTTTGAAATCATACCACATATTGTAATATTTTTATGAAACTAAACAAAAATATATAAAAAGATCCATTTTTGAAAGCCATTCAGCTCGCCGACGGACATCTAAAGACCTTTAAGACCCAGCTTTATCAATTGAAAGATCTGTCTTTTTTTAGTGAAAATTACATGAAAGAAATGTTAACCTGTAAGCATTGACTGTGAGTAACTGTTTTCTCTCTAAAAACAAATAAAAGAGAAGTATAGACTACATTGTGAGCATTTTTTTCAAATTATTAAGAAAAAAACTTAAAATTTTACTGATGACAGCTTTATGTTTATATAATGCGATAATTATGTTTTTTCAAGTTAATATTCTTCAAAGATACTATTAAATAGAATGGAAGGAAATAAAGATATTACAATTGTGTTGATCAGGCTCAATATAGTTTTCCATTTTGAATAACAATTATAATGTTGAAACATTTTTAAGCATTCTAAACTAATCTAGTGCTGACTCCTAAGGTGATACTGATACCACACTTTATCAGTT